TTTAAAATATCTTGTTAAATACAAGTAATTTCTAGTTAGTGTAGTAATTATATACAATTATTATATATTGAACTACTTGAGTTGCAATAATTAATATAGTGAAGTAAAAGAGTAATTATCTGACTTTAACAAAATAATGATCTTTTATTAAAAAGTTATTTTTCTTTTCGCTTGTAACAAAGACAAATTTTATTATTTCCTTTTACTTTCAGTTATCCTGTAATAACTTAGCAATTTAGAGTAATATAACTGCAGTTATAATACAAATATTTTGTTTTAATTATGATTAAGCTTTGTAACTACAATCATAGTATAATTTTACAGTGTTTGGGCTTTACGGCCATGGCAATACAAAAATCTTTAGTATAACTATCAATATAAAACTTATTTGTGAGAATATAATAGAAGTTAAATTAGGCTTAATTATAAATTAATACATTAATAAAATAGTTGTTGGCGAAATGATACAAATCTAAGAAGCAAGTTAAAATAAATAATTATCCTTAGAAGTATCTTCGAATTATCAAAGAAGATTAGAATATTAATAAGATTAAAAAAAAGCATGTTTTGAACAAATTAAGAAGTAAAATGAAAATATTTATATTATATTGTACAAGTTTTTTTTTAAAGAATTAACTATCAGTAGATTAAATTAAAAGATGTTAAAATTTTTCATCGGTCTAAAATATAAAAAGAAGATATCTGAATTAAAAAAAATTATCGCATTGCGATAAAATATTCCTTTTTATAAATACTTCTTTTTATTATCTCAATTTTTCTTAAAAAAATTTTTTTTATTCTACAATTTATTATAAATCGTGAAGTATATACAACTGTTAATACTACACATAATAAACAAAAAATTATTGTTCGTGGATATTTACTTGTAAAAGACAAAAATCGTAATAACTCTTTTTATTGGTGCTGTGAATATAAAGATTCTCATAACTGCAAAGGAAAAGCAGTTACAATTTTAGAAGGCCAAAGTCATGTCTTAAAAAAGTTTAATGAGCATAACTATACACCCGAACCAAGTTATGCTGATGTAATTCAAGCATTAAATAATATGAGAGAAATAGCATCCCAAAGCTGTGAAAGACCATCTCAAATAATCCATGACATAACAATTAATATGCCTGAAGATTCTTTTTATAATATGCCTAATAATAAGGCATTATGCAAGCAGATTTCACGTATTCGACTTAAAAATATACCTACTCAACCACAAGCACTTCAAGAAATAGATATTTCTAATCATTTACAAGTAACTATGAGAGAGAAATGATTTTTAGCTAGAGAAATAGATCTTGATAATAAAAAAATTATGATTTTTTGCACTAGCAATAACTTACTTTATCTTGAGAAAGCAAATTATTGGTTGATGGATGGTACCTTCAAAACTGTACCTACACTTTTTCGTCAATTATACGCTATGCATACCCCAGTTGGAGGTGAAACCAATTTTCATGTTTTTCCTTTAGTTTATATTTTAATGACCAACCAATTAGAAGAAAGTTATAAACAAGTATTTCAAGAATTATTAAATTTGAGTGAAGAAGCAGGTTATAATTTAAATCTACCTATAATTATAACTGATTTTGAACAGTCAGTTATTAATACTATTCAGATTAAGTTTTCTAATTCTGTACATAAAAGTTGTTTTTTTCATATATGTCAAAATTTTTGGAGAAAAATTCAAGTTGAAGGATTGGCTATTGAATACGGCAATAATGAAAGTTTTAGTCTTAGATTACGTTATTTAGTAGCTCTTGCTTTTCTTTCTTATTCGGAGATTCCAGCTGCATTTGATACAATTAAACCTTTAATGCCTTCTAATGTTATGAAATTGTTAATTATTTCGAAAATAATTAAATTTATGGAAGAATTCGACAACAGCTTTGAAATGGAGTTACAACTCAAATTTCACCTTTATTTTCACCATCATTTTGGTCAGTACATGAATTAGTTGAAAATGGATTTCCTAGAATGCAGAATTTTGTTGAAAAATAGCATAATAGATGGAGCAATATTGTAGGTAAAGCACATCTTGGTACTTATACAATTATTGAGGAGATGCATAAAGAACAACAACAAGTTGATATGCAAATTGAACATGTGTTACGTGGTGAACCTCATCCAACTCAACGTAAACGCTTAGTTGATCATGAAAAAAGAATTATATCTGTTTTTAATAATCGTGATACTTATACAGTTGTTGATTTTTTAAGAGGTATCGCACATAATATTTCTTTATAATTATGTGCATTTAGCTATGATAAACTACAAGCATATTTAAAAAAATAGCCCCAAACGAATTTATTTTTTTTTATTTTGTTTTTTTTTCTTATTTTGCAGTTTTTTCATTTTATATTTATTTTATCTTGCAATTCTTTTTTTTTTATTTTGATTTTTTTATTTCGCTCTTTTTT